ACTCTGCCACTTTTTCTTTTCTTTGAGTATTGGTTTTGAAATAGTATATGTATGACTGCACAGTAAACATTTAAACAAAGTCACAACCTTAGACAAAACTAAGAAACAGCATGTGACAATGAATGGGAAGATACTTCAGTTGGGGTGAAGCTACAGGTCAAAAAGTAAATCATTAACCTATATGAAATGTGAGAGATTTCTAGAGAACTATGATACATATATTATAAAATTATATTCTATAAATATTCAGTGACTCCACCAATCAAAGAACAACAAATGAGCCATTGAGCATGTAAATACACATGCCTATCAATACTTGAATATCCTTTTTCCTAGTCCAGTTATCAGGACGGATACTCAGAATGAATAACCCAGGATCCAGTGATAATGAGTTTGAGATGCTTATAATGCATCTGAAAACACAATGTTATATCCCAGTCGGTCAGGGGTGTAATGATTAATGAAGTGACAGGACAAAATAAACAGAGTGATTTAATAGTGATTTATTTAAGGTGCAAATATGGTTCATCAAAGGTGTGCAAAAAAGTATGTACAGTTTTTTTTTTAATCCAAAAAAGTATTACAGAAGGAAATAAATTAAAGTTTTTGTGTTTCTCTCTGTGATGGTGTGCGATGATGCCCAATCTTAGTCCCTTCAGAATAAAAGTCCTGTCTCAGTCTGTGATACACGTCATGCACCATTTTTCAAGAGAAGCACTTATAAAGCTGCTCTGAACAAAAGAGAAGCTTTAAGGGCTTCCTGCTGCTTTCTGACACAATTAAAGCTTCATGGTTTATCATCGGAAAATCAAGAAATCAATGCATTACTTCAGTTTTATATGTTTACAGTTGTACCATAAGAATTACACTTAAGCTTACAGTCCTTAACATTTTTACATCAGTTCTACAGTTTGAACTCTGTTTGTTATTATTATCTCACCTCATCTATGAATGTCTCTCTGTGAAACATCAGAATGAATCTCTGCAGGTCTGTCTGAATTCTGACAAACTAGAAAACACAAACACAAACATCTGATAATGTTAATGCAGTTCATAGTGGATAAATGTTAAAGTTCAGGATCAGGATCAATCAAGAAATCACGGCTCATACTGATCACCAGTGGGGGTTATATTAATATTACTAGTGGTTCAACGGACCACAAAACTCACGGTTTGGATCATATTGTGGTGTTTGAGTCACGGATCCAATAATTTTTCGGATCAGCAACAAAAAAATGCAATGTAAATTTGCTTCCCATTTAAAGCAGATTTTAAGAACTTCTTCAATACCACAGCAAAAATTAGTAGCCTAACTAAGAAAGTTAAGACAAGAACAAATAGGCCTACACAAATTACAAGCATAAACAAATACAATATAAGTTACAAATAAAATAGATTACAAATAACACTAGTATTCAGGTACAGAAATGTAACAATAATAATGATTACAATTTGATGTACATGCGATGTAAATAAGAGATTAATTCATCATACACTGCAGACAACATCACTGATTATAACTTTTTAGAGTGCTTACGCTCGCGCTAGACTGAATTCAGTGATATTCTTTCATAATGTAAATGTTCTTTGCTCGCTGTATAATTTGTTGTTTTCTTTTAATAATCGTGGACATGCGGCGTTATAATTAAACTAAAAATGTATTTTTATTAAACGTGATCTGGTTAAATACAAATTCAGTCTTATTAAAATATGTTATGTCATAATATGGCAGCCTACTTGCCTAAAACGTTATGATGTGCATAGTTAATAGATTACATTAGGCTACAGTGGTTTGAGCACGTTTGACCAGAGACTGGAGTGCAATTAAAGAGCTGTGCTTATGTGATTGACGGTGGCTGTCTTGAGAAGCGAGAAAGCTTCGGAAAACGGCTCATAAAAAGGAAGAGGAATAGTTTTTACAAGTCGGAATGTAAAATGACGGTAATATCGCGTGAATATTTCACATGAAATTCTGTCAGTGTGAGGGGCAGATGTAGGGACGCGCGCAAGAAAAATACAACCGCTATAGGCTATATATTTCTGGTCGGTTTAATAAATAATTAATCACAAAACTATCACAAAAATGAAGTATCTTGGGGATGATCGAAGGGCACAAGGAAAATCTCAGACCCGTCCCTGCAGCACCCCTAGTTCCCACGGCCGCAGAAGTGAAGTCCTCCCTCTCTTTCCAGTTGTGTTTGTCTTGCTGTGTGGAGGTGAGTGGTGATGAACAACAGACCAAGCTACATGTGCCTCGAATTTACTGCTAATTACCCAAAAGGCAAAAGCCAAATATAGTTAATTTGTCTTTCTAACATCCATGACTCATGAGCTACCATGTAATAAGTTAGCTAAAGTTTAGCTAAGGCAATATATCATGCAGGCTAACTTAATGCAGAAACGACAGCTGAATACAGTCAAATTAATAACGTCATCAGAATCGCTACATTGATATGCAAATCAGGCGTTAAGTAATTAAAATGTGCTAATTTGCATACATTTGACAGAAGCCATTGCAGATGAATAGGATACACAAAATAACTAAAGCATATCACCACAGAACTTCCCCAGTTATTAGTTAATGACTTACATCAAGAGTCTTTTCCCTTGAAATGTTGTTTAATTATGCAGATTGTTTTGCTTCATTTAGAAGAAATGAACAGAAGCAAACAGACGACGGTATAGGCTTAAAACAAACATCTTAATGTGTATTTTGGAAATGTCCTTTCCTTTAGAGCAAAAGAAGACATGGAAGCAAA